AAAGCAGAGAAACAAAAAAGCAGAAAAACAAAAAAAAGAAGAAAAAAACAGCAGAACAGCAGAGAAGCAAAAAAACAGAAAAGCAGAGAAGCAAAAACAACAAAGAAGCGTAGAAGCAAACAAAAAAAACAGAAAAGCAAAGAAGCAAAAACAACAGAAAAGCAGAGAAGCAGAAAAGCACAGAAGCATACAGGAGCAAAAAAAAAGCAGAAAAACAGCAGAGAAGCAGAGAAGCAAAACAGCATAAAAAAGGCACAGTAGAAAGGAGAGGGGAACCCACCCAAAAAAAACAACTAAAAAAACCCACTAAATAAATGGCCCTCCTTTGATTATTTTGAGGTGATTAAACCATTAGAAGACCAGGTGATGCGGCCATGGCACCATGGTGATCACAAAGTCTTCCCAGCAACGGATTCACCAAGAGCTCCTGGCTTTCCAAAATCATTGGGGTCCAGTGATGGTCCATGACGGTCCCATTTCCATGTTGACCATTGGGTTTACCATTGGATTTACCAAGACATGGGGAGTGACATCAAACCAAGCCCAGTTGCGACTACCGCCGCAGCAGCGGACATCTTACCTTGCCAAGCAACGACGTGAGGGGTGGAAAAATCAGCCACGCCACAACAATCATGCGAATTCAACCCCGCAAAAAGGTGACTGCCTCCAAAAAAGGATGCTTAGTTGGAGAAAACAAGCCCTTCACTTAATTATTTGTGGTTGTTGTGCAAGTATGTTGTTCCCCACATTGACGCGTGGGGCTTTTGTTCTTAGATTTAAAAACCGCCTCCTCCTCGCCCGTCCTCCTCCTCACCCAACCTCACCCACCTCAATCACACTCACTCACTCAATCACACACACTCCTCCTCACTCACACTCACTCACTCACCTCACTCACACTCACTCACCTCACTCACTCACCTCACTCACTCACTCACTCACTCGCTCAATCACTCATACACTCATACACTCATACACTCACTCACTCACTCACTCTCTCTCTCTCTTTCTTCCTTCAAGGGGTCGGAGGTACGCCCTGGCGTCTCGTGGCAGCCGTGGGGCAATGTGCGCTGCCAACGGGTCGGATGTACGCCCTGGCGTCCCTGGGTCTCCGCCTCTTTTGCGTGGCAGGCGTGGGACAATGTGCACTGCCAAGGGGTCGGATGTACGCCCTGGGGTTCCTCTGGCGTCCCTGGGTCTCCGCCTCTTTTGCGTGGCAGGCGTGGGACACTGTGCTCACACTCATTCACACTCATTCACACTCATTCACACTCACTCACCCTCACTCACACTCACTCACTCACACTCACTCACACTCACTCACACTCACTCACAATCACT